CCAGGTGTGCTGCAACCATCCGAAACCGTGTAGTGGGGAAATGTCAGGCAACTGGTCGCACGGGAAAGATCTAGAGAGTTTGAGTTCCTTTGGTACCAAGCCGGAAAGGGTGTGGATCTGCCAAAATCCCTTGTGCTCTGGGAGACATTAGGGTGACTGAGTTCCGCTTATGAAACTGATTAAATCAGACACTGGGGAGGGGCCGTGATCCGTTACTTCCATCCTACCTTTAATAGAAACCAGACGTTCTGTTAAGATATAGTCCAAGCAAATTGCTCCTTTTCCTCCTGGACCTGGAAGCTCACATTAGAGTGCTGGCATAAAGCTGATGATCACACCTTCAGAAAGCAGACTTTGAATTGTGTCAATGATAAAACTTAAGGGACGAGTCCATCTGCTGTGTGGCTTCCTGGTGAAAGGTGCACTACGAAGGATTCATCCTTGGAGAGTGAAATCTCACCCTCTGCCCGGGTGGAGCAGCTGGTGGTGGAAAGAGAATGAATTTCCGCTTCAGCTTCTTCTCACGGTTGTTGTTTCTTTAAGTGGAGACAGTTCTGTTTACCTTTTCTCATATCCCTCAGCCCGGTTATCTCTTGGAGATTTGGTGCATGTTCCTGCCGTGTTCAGGAATGCGTTGCTAGTCAGAACAGGATTCACCCAGTGTGTGTGTTGACTTGCTGAGTGGCCCTTCAAGGTGATCATACAGATAGCACCACTGTGTAGGGCCACTTTGGTGCCTCCAGTTTAGTGTCTCATCAACATGCTCTTTAGTGAACCATGGGAGCTGTACTGTACTCACTGCAACTACTGCATTCCTTGAATAGTGGCAGTGTGACTTCCCAGGAAGTCAGCTTTTGTTGGAATAGGCTACTGTGGTTTCATCACACTGTTCCTTCCTTCTGTAGGAGGATTAGAGGTGAACTGCAAAGAAATTGTGAAAAATATCTGAATTTGTCTGGCTTGTTCATCTGAGGTGCTAAATGTATTGGCACTACCAGAGGTTAAAGTTGTGATCTGATTTTGAAAATAGAACTTTTAGTCTCAGCAACTTGATTTCATCAAGTCTTAATTACACCGTGTCTGTCTCAACTTTTTTGCAGCCTTTCAGGCTGGACAAGATCTAATTAACAGTAAGCAGTTGAACAAAAAACAGTGCGACCCTTTTGCTCTCTGAGCTTTTCTTTGGTGTACAGAATTCACCACGGAAAAGCACACCAGCTGTTTTCTCTCTGCAAGTCATTGTTAGCCCCCAAATGGCTCACTTATTTCTCTAAAGCCATTCACCTTAGATGCATACAAAAGGGAACAATGTGCTGATACAACTCCCCTGAAATAAGTCAGACTTTCGAACTGAAGTGAGAGTTGTTTGTTTTTCTTTCCTCATTATCTATGGCTGGATTATCTGAGTTGTGGATTAACTGTGCCATGGATACAGACGTCTGTGCTGGCTCTGTCCAGAGTCAAGCTGGTCCGGCAGGACTTGTTGGTTCAGGCACAATGCCATGTGGACATAGCTGCACTGCTTCCAGGACCAGTTTTGGCCCAAAAGTAGTGTAGTATTGAGCTGGGACTAACATGCTGTGCAGGTTCAGAGTTGATGTCAAGTAAAATCATCTTAGATGTTTCCACACCATGCTTCTTAATCTGTGTGGTGCAGGGGTGACTGTTGAGTGATGGACCTTGCTGGGCATGAGGGAACCCCTCACAGAGCCCATTGGTGTGCCTGTTTTTAACTCTCTGCCTTTATCAAAAATCTCCTTCCCCGTTGCAGAGTTGGAGGATTTGATCAGTGTGTACTTGTGCACTGTAAAATAGAGGTCCAGAAGTATCTCAGTTTCGTGCTTGGGCTGGAGAGGTTATGAAACGTGAGAATGGATTTGTCTTGCATTGGGGTTTCATTTGAAGTTGGAAAAAACTTTGTTCCTTTTTTTTTTTCCCCCTCAGTGTTCAAGAAGTGATATTACAGTGCACAGCTCACATGGGAAACTGTTTCTGCAGGCTGGAACTGTGCACCCCGTTGATCTGGGGGAG